CACATTGTTAACATGTTATAAATATTAGTTTATAAGCATGCATGGCAGTTATTGTCATTTAGTGAATTACAGTAACATACTGAAAAGTGGCTAAAGAACTGTATAATTACAGTAAACTACAGGAAAATGTGCTGCCAGTATTTTACTGTTAATTTACAGGACAATTTTTACTACACTGTAATTCTATATACAGCGAAACAAAAAATGCAGTACTTTATATGTGAAGCTGCTGCTGCCAGTTAATTACTACAGTGAAATTTACAGTTTTACAGTATAACAGTCCTGTCCGCATCTAATTGTTTCGATAAATTCATATTGTGCTTTATTTAAAGGAACTACTTGCAAAAATTAGTACATTTCATAAATGCATTTCATAATTTAGTCTTGTCTTTTTCTTTATAAGCCTTAATAATAACAGTCTAATGTGAGGCGATGACCTGCCTTCAGATAAATACATGAGGAATTACTGATTATATATATCATAGAGTTATTGTTCTTGACTTCCAGCACACAAACACCAATGACAGTCGACGCATCACAGTTACAATACAGTACATGCTCTCTAAATGTGTTACACAAAGGTATGACAGAGGCAATGACATGAGTGCAATAACATCAACAATAAAGAAATAAATCAATAATTCTCATTTCCATTGGAGCTGCAGTGCATGACTTCAAGCAGAGGAATCGCTGGATTAACAACTTACAGGTTTTAGTTAACCTTATTTGGCACAAAAAAACATTATATTCATTATATTATATGTTTTATTTAGTTCTATAGTTTTGTGTTGTTAGCCTAATTTAAATCTTTAAGTGTCAACTTAACTAATTGAGAAAAAAAACCTTTAAACCTTTACAAACGCACAAGTTACCTGTGCAGTTTTATACTTTGCTTGCAATTTGTTAAAGTCAACTCAACTTTGCACTGTACAAGAGATGGTGTCTTTTGCCCATGAATAATAGATAAACATTCATTGGTTTTATGTGGTAATATAAGTCAGTGTAGCAGTTTAAATGAATAAAGCAGCTCAGAACGGACAAACTATTAGCTCAGATTTGATTCATTTAATCTAAACATTTATTAGCTTTTGAACATGAACTTGTGCGCTACAGAAGAGAGCTCGGCTCCATAAAGCAAGTTTGATTGCATCATATAATAATTGCTGTTAATAGTGTTCATCGTCTGTTTGATTACGTCTTTAATTGATTTTTCCGTACATTTCTGCCCTATGTACATTAACTGACAGTCACCACTGATAAGCTACCACTAAATACTGTAGAAACTTAATTTGCTGTAAAGTTGCTTTGCAACGATTTGTATCGTGAAAAGCGCTGTACAAATAAACTTGAATTGAATTGAATTGAATAAAGCTGGGGTGATAATACTATAGTATTCCTGGTTGTAATTGATTGTGATTTGAATAGTTTTATCGTTCAGTCCAGAATGTTACTGGGGTTACTGCTACTTCAGTCATCATTTCAGGAGTGACTCGTCATTCTGTTCACAGAACAATCAGTCCACTCCCGGATCTAGTGTGTATGTACAGACTGATTACTTCAACATTAATGACAGCTAACAAAACAAAGAGTTTGAAGGGCTGCCAGTAGAAACCTGTTGTAGTGAGGGCTGAATTACAGCAGAGGGCAGCAAATCACCATTACACTGCTCTATCCCCCTTGTTTTTAACAGAAGAGCAATGTGGCCATTTGTAATAGAGATGGGCAATACCACTTAATTATTTTGCTTTCGATACAATATCGATACTTCCAAAGGCCAGTATCGTTGAAACCGGTACAAATACCCCTAAACTTAACTTTTAAATTATTACATTTATTAAATTACTAATTTATGACGAGTAAAATGGGTCATGATATCCATTTTGGCCCCTATTTGAAAGGCATAAAACATTCAATATGCCAGCTTATTAGGTTATATTTTTGTTTACACATGGTTAAAATACGTTTACTGTAGTGGTAACCATGGAAATCTACAAATACTACAGTCACTGTTTAGTACAACCATGGTTTATTTTCATAAGAGACTCACAGTTGCACCCACAAAATACAACCTTTTTATACTGACAGTTTATGATTTATAATAAACATTAGTTCCAGAATAGAACATGATCAATAAGAAGTTTACCATTCACTTTAAATAAATTGCACAAAATAGGCTACAATTTCAATTTGTTTATTGTGAAATAACTCAAACATATTATGTTTTTCTTCCCTCTAATAAGAATTGTTCTGTGCTGCCTGCGTTGCCCAAAAGCATCGATGGTTTATGATACTTTAGGAAGTGCAGCCCTGTTTGAATGCAGAGTCAGCGGTGGGTGAACGCTCTCTGTGATTGATTAGTTCTGTCTTGCAGCATTTCCGTGTGTTCAGATGAGCAGGAAAATAGTTATGCATCCAATTCAGTGCATATCGTATGCATTAAATATCTTGTTAATTTAACAAAATCACAAGTAAAAAAAAAAAACTTAATTTTTTTTTTTGAGTATTGATACTTTCGATACTCACATCAGTATCGATATGCCCAACTCTAATTTGTAACTTGTGCTTGAGACCTACGGTATCAGTCGATTCCAATTATTTTACCAGTACAAAAACAGTCATTGTGCAGCTTTATGTTGCAAACTGTTGTTTTATGGTGACCTTACAACTCATATTATCACCATGAACGAGGGAGAAAAAGTATAAGTGCAAGTTATAAGCGCTTTTCAAGCACTGCGCTTTGAAAACTTTGCAAATCAGTTGTTTAAAAAAAAATCTAAGTGTTTCGGAGCACTTATCAAACTGCCAAAGTCATGAGATTTCAGCAAATGTGGCTTTGTATGGAAGGCTGATAGGGCCAAAACACTTTAAACGGTACATGTGAAGTTTTAACGCAGCAATTTTGAATGTGTTTATTTTGAATGTGTAGACACGTTTGAACGTAATATTTTTTAAAGCAGATTTATCTCGAGATTTACCCATATAAAAATTATTTTTAGCCCATATATCGCTTTACTGATATCTACTGTGCTGGAGTAAATTAAACGTAAATTAAAACTTTCCTACCTGAGAAAGAAAAAAAAAACAAATTACATGACAAATCATGAGACTGACATCACACACAACCTAACGATGCATTATCCCTCATGAGCAAATATAATGTCTGATATTTGCATACATGCATGCCATTGTACAATTACAGCATCCTTCATGAATAAAAACATGATGTCTGATGCCTTCCATTGCTTCATCATGTCATCACTGTTTCGAAACGTTTCAGTGAACCCATGAACCAGTGGGGTTTACCTGTTCTCGAGTCAGGTTTCTAAATTTGTAGACATTTTTAACTGACACACTGTATTTGTATAATAAAAAGGCCGAGTTGTACTAGACTTTTATTAGCCTGACTAAGCAAGTTCTTCAAAACACAATAAAAACAAGCCCTACTAATTAATAAAACATCACATATTATAAGACCCTTCTTATTGAATTGTATTAGTTGACTTGTTAATTGCATTTAAAGGCAGAGTAAGGGATTTCTGGAATCCAATGTTGATATTTGAAATCACCAAAACAAACACGCCCCTACCCCAAAAGGGTCTTGCCCCTATTTTGATAGCTCCGCCCCACATATACGTACGCAACCCAGGAAACGATTAGTTCTGTGAAACAAAGCAAAACCAATGTTACACCGTGTCTACGGACGTGAGCGGCGCGGCGCAGCAAATCCCCGACAGAAAACTGCTGCCGGGTTCTATTTATGACGTGCTGACACCGATTTCAAATGGTTTTCAACGGTCGTTTGACCTCTTTCTCGCGTCCAGTGTAGGCAGACTTTAGTTGTTGTAGACACGGTGTTACTCACCCATTGAGAAGAAACCAAGCAACCTCGTCGTCCGATCGCAGGCCTCCGCTCCTTGAGTTCTCTCCAGCGCTGGAAAGCTGATCCGATATTTACACGGGTCCTACTTCTTGCCTTATCGTTCCGCAGACGTTTTCCTCTTTTGTTTTTTATCCGCCATCTCTATCTTTCTGTCGCTCGGCTCGGCTAATGTCCGTCCCATGCACTGAACGCGCTCTCCTCCACATCACGAGTAGACACGCCCCTTATTGCTGATTGGCTACAAGTTTGTTTTGCGATTCGGCCCGAATCAGTTTTCTAAAGTGTTTTTGAAAAATCACTTAACTCTGCCTTTATTAGATTACAATTTCAATAAAGATATTTGAGGTTGGTTTGATATTGCTGTTTTATGTATGTTTTGGCCTGAGTTTGTGTGGCATTTACAGCATGTGGAGTTTTGAGCGCTTCGAAACAACAAATCATTTTTCAAAGCAATTGTTTCCCCCATCACTATTGAGAGGTTGGTGATGATTTTGATTTCCACTGGTCAAGAAAGCAGAAGTGAAAGGACGTCGGATCCATAAATAGACTGTAATATATCAGATGCAAATGACAAACAGCAGAAGAAATTAGAAATCTCTTAGATCTCATGATGAACCTCAATCAATTTCTAGGCCTTTCACAGCATCCAATACATATACAATTCCAACTGTATGTTTAATCATGTTTTAAGCTAATGGATGTCTAATTAATCTTAACTCATGTCAGTTTTTTCTGTGTTTTCATTGATGAACGCAGCATGAAGATATAATAAATGCCTTTAAACCATTAAAGCCGTTAACACAGTCACTCTGTAAGCATACAGTCTGTGTTTATGTTCATATACCATTGTGCCATTAGTCTTGTGTGTTATATGCTTATACAGTATGTTTCTCTGCATGTTTGCAGAGTCTTTCACACATATTATCACACTTAATGCCCTGTTTCTGGGTGGAACCGTTCAGAGAAAGAGGAAGCAGAAATGTGAGAGGAGGATGTGTGTGTACTTTTAACGATTATTTACATTCATGCATTGCATTGAAGGTATTTTGTCAATTCTTGCTTTCTCTGGATTGTGATCTGTTTTTTCTCTGAATATCAGTGAGACTGAAGTCAATCTGGAATGAGGGTCGCCATCATTACCATCATCATCACTATCTGTCTGATCTCAGGTCAGTTCTTTACTAGTCAGTCTAGTCAAATAATGCTTTAAATTATACGGCCCAGATTGAAAATATTAAATAACCCAGAGCAAATGAACTTGTGTTTGGCAGGTCAGGTACTTTGTTTCAGTGTGATTGGCTGCACTGGAGGGAGTGTAATGTTCAAGTGCACATACAAGTCTAATGATCAGCATAAAATAAAGTATATCTGCAGAAACAGAAACTGTACGACGAGTATCAGTACTGAGACTCAGCGCGGTTGGGTTAATAATGGGAGATTCTCTCTGTATGGCGATGAAAACAGCAGATTCTTCACAGTGTTTATCAGGAACCTCAGCAGAGAGGATGATGGGGAATATACATGTGGAAACAATCAGGAATGGAGTCATGATGTTACATTAGTAGTGAACAGAAGTGCGTATGATACTTTATTACCTACTACATTAAGTATTATACTTTTATTATAGTACTGTTTAAAGGTGCACTACGGAAAAAAAATTATTTAGCAAATTCATAAGTGTTCAAACTGCCTCACTGCATTATAATAATTCACAACAGTATAATAATGATTTATAATCTGAGCTGAAAAATGTCAGTTTTATGTCAGTGTTATTTGAGAGGTCATGCAAAGAAGGCCCGTCTACTAAACGTTACATGTTCAAATTACATTTTATCTGGATATTTGCCTTGTAGTACAAACGTTTTCTGCCAATATGTCTCTGTCTTGATGTACAGTAGGATGACAGATCTGTCTTATCTTTTGATCACAGGTGACCCTACAGTACATAGACCTAAAAGAAACACAACCCATGTTAATGTAAATAACTCTGCAAGGAAAGTGACACTTTATGTGTCAAACGGAGATGGCGATAGAGAGGCCAAAGTTCCCCAGTGCACCTTTAATAATACTAATAATATTTCAAGATTTCAGTGCATGTCACATTGATTTGTTGAAATCATTTTCAGCCTCTTCTTCTTGTGGGACATCTGTTATCCGGACTGCATATAAAGGACAAACCATCACTTTTCACTGTGAATATGATCATACGTTTCAAACACAAACCAAAGTCTTGTACAGAGTGAACGGAAATCCTGTCCATGTGCTGAACAGCTCACAATCATCACAATCATCTGAGGAGAAGTTCATCCAGTCTGACAGTCAGAAATATCATTTTACTGTGACCATCAGAAACATTTCTGCAGCAGATGCTGGAGTTTATTTATGTGGAGTGGAGAGATATGGACCTTCACACACTATTACTCACATAACCTTCATTAAAGAGATTCATCTGAATGTTTCTGGTGAGTTTAGCTTCATTTTGATTATAAAATCCTTACAGCTCTGGATAAGATACATAAATCCCTCCTGACTGTTAATAATGTAACAAATTGATGAATAAATCTCATCTTGCAGGTCAAATAACTTCTGTCCAGGTTCAGGCCTACATCAGTAAATCAGTCTTCATCACGTGTAAATTTCCACAAGAATTCAAAGGAAACAAGAAATTCATCCAAATACATTCATCACAGAAGATCCCTGTTGATGGACAGAATCAGTGGGTTCATCATGATAAAGTTCATATGTATGATGATACCAGAGAAGGAGTTCTGAAGGTTTTTATCAGTGATTTAACCGCAGCTGATGAAGGAACGTACAGATGTGGAGTGAATATCGCTGACGATCATCTGTTCACTGAAGTCACATTGACAGTCAATCAAGGTAAAGAACTTCTGTCAGGAGCTTGTTTTTGGACACTTTCTAGCAGTTAAAATGAGAAAAAATGATTGGATATTTCTGTTTTTTATTATTATTATTATCGTGTATAGTTGATCACTTTAATGCATCAAGCAAATCAGCTGCAATTATTGGCGAAAGTATGAACCTCACCTGCAATTACCCTGAGAAACACGAGACCATCAAACACATCTGCAAAGAGAACAACGAGAAGATCTGTCAAAACATCAGTTCATCAGAGAAGAACCGCTTTGAGTTTTCTGACAGTGCAGCAGGAGTTGTTAGAGTGAGCATCAGTAATGTGAGCCTGAGAGATGCTGGAGTTTACTGGTGTGGAGCAGAAACCAGACACACGCATCTGACTTCTGTTTCTCTCACCAATAACCACGAGCTGATCTTATCCAATAAACCCCAGCTGACATCCAGTATGTAAAATAACCCTAAAGCATGCAGTTCAATAATATATGCATGTATTGTACAGTGTATGAACAGTTCTCTATTCTCTTTGACTATCAGTGCCTCCACTGGTCAGACGTGAAGGAGATTCAGCCGAGATCAAATGCCCTTATAATGCAAACTATTCAAAAGAAGTAAAGCATCTGTGCAAAGGAAAGTGTTTCACTCAAGATGCTCTGAAGATCATTCAATCAGAAGATCATGATAAAAACCCAAAGATTTCAGTAAAGGACGACACTGAACTCAATCTCTTCACTGTGACCATGACTGAGCTGAGAGCAGAGGATGCTGGGAAATACTGGTGTGCAGTGAAAGACGCGTTTGACCTTCCCATTGAGCTCATGATCATCATGAAGGACGGTGAGGTTGTTTATTTGGGAAGAATCTCAATGTTTCTGCTCATTCTGTAATCATACTCATCATATTTAGTGTTCTGCTCTTCAGTGCTCGTCACCCGTAAAGCGTCTGTCGGAGGATCAGCGTCCATCAGCTGTAAATACATCAAGAATCAAAATCAGTGTTTTTTCTGCAGAGGAGATCAGCCGAATATCTGCGTCAAAGACGGAGTTCGTGTTTCATCAAAAAACAGAATAAACGGCAGATTCTCTCTGACTGACGAAACCTCTGCTGGAGTCTTTACTGTGAACATCAGCAATCTGAGAGCAGAGGATTCTGGGAAATACTGGTGTGCAGAGGAGCATTCTGGGTCCTTCATATTCACTGAAGTTTATCTACATGTGAACGGAGGTAAAATACTCTTTCATTAAAGGAATCATTAATCATGAATTTAAAATGAACTTTCTTCAGATGAACACAAACATATATTTTTAAAATTATTTTTTTCTTATGTATGCAATGAACGTCAGTGCTGTTTGGTTGAACATCTTGAGGGCGAGTCAATGATGGCTTTAAGAATGCACTTTAAGGAAAGTTTCCATAATTTTCCATATTGATTTTTTTAACAGGTGTTTTACCTGTATTTTGCATTATTCGTCGCATTGTGTTTTGTTTTAATGTTAAAGAAAATGTCAGTAAACTTAGCGGATAATGTCTTGGCAGAAAATTACAGCATCATTTCCAGGTTTTGACAGGGGGGTTTTTTTCTACCAGTGTGATCATCTTTTGGGTGAACTGTCTCGTGAAAGTAACATGCCTGACGTGTGTGAACGGGAGTTTTCACACCAGCTCAAAACCACAGACAGCAGCAAGCAACAAAACCTTCTGTTTGAGTAAAACTGGCTGCTTCTTTTGTTTTTTAGTTTAGTAAAGTGCAGAAAACAAACATTTTACACTGTTGTTGCAGCATTTTTTTTTGTTTTTTTTGTGGAGCACAGAAGATGAGAAAGAGAAAAAATATATTTTCCATACCATGAAAACACATAACTGATCTAAACGTACTCGGAACGAACGAATGGCTCGGCAGCAGTGCTGCACAAACCTATGGCAGCGAAGCCCACCAAAGCCCACCATAATGGGCGGAGACGTCTAGCTATATAAGCGGCCGCTTCGCCATAGGATTCTGGTTACTTCGACTGAAGCGACGACGAGTCGTGCAGCTGCATGGCACGGCTAGCAACGCAGTACTCATTCCCGTATCTCAGGGAACCAAGGTCACGTTTGTGTCGAGTGATCGTTCCAACAGACTTGCGCAGCCTCAGCACCAGTGCTAGAAAGGTCTGGGCATATTACATCCAAACTGCACTCAGAGTGAACTGCGCACCATCTAAGCAGAAAGAACCCTAGCCTGCAAGGCAGGGACATCCAGGTTATAGAACCTAGCAAAAGTGGACTGCGAGGCCCAGCTGGCCGCCGCACAAATTTCTGCAATGATCACGCTGCTAGACCACGCCCACAAAGAGGTGATACCTCTAGTTGAGTGGGCTCGTACTCCAACTGGGCATTGCAGGCCCAGGGAAGAGTAGGCTAGCGAAATAGCGCCGATTATCCACTTAGAAAGTATCTGCTTCGTGACCGGGTGTCCTTTAGCGGGGCCACCGAAGCAAACAAAGAGTTGTTCCGACTGCCTAAATTGGGCAGAACGCTCGATGTAGACCTTCAGAGCCCTAACTGGGCAGAGTAAATTCAACTTCTGGTCCTCCTCCAAGGGAGGAAGCGCAGAGAGGTTGATAACCTGTGCTCTAAACGGAGTCAAGAGCACCTTAGGTACATAGCCATGCCTTGGTTTCAGGACGACCCTAGAGTCGCCAGGCCCGAGTTCCAGGCAATTAGGGCTTATAGAAAGTGCCTGCAAGTCACCCACTCATTTGACCGATGCTAGCGCTAGCGCTCTGTTAAACGACAGAGACCGAAGGTCGACGGACTGCAGCGGCTCAAAGGGAGGACCCTTCAAGGCCCTCAGAACAGTGGGCAGGTCCCACGTAGGGACAGTGAGAGGCCGAGGCGGATTTAGCCTTCTGGACAAGGTTGTTCCTGTCGACCGACTGACCCGCTATAGGGACGTGAGAAGCCGCTAATGCTGCCACATAGACCTTGAGCATGGACGGGAAGAGACCCTTGTCCAACAGCTCCTGCAGGAAGGACAGTATCATAGATATGTCGCAAGTGAGCGGATCCTTGCCGCGGTTTGAGCACCAGGCAGAGAACACCGACCATTTAAGGACGTAGAGGTGTCTTGTCGACGGAGCTCTAGCCTGAGAAATGGTGTTCAATACACACTCTGGGAGACTAATAGGCTCCCGTCGAGTGGCCACAGGTGCAAAGCCCACAGCTCTGGCCTGGGGTGCCATATCATCCTGTTCACCTGGGAGAGGAGATCTCGCCTCAGGGAAATAGGCCACGGGGCTGCTATTAGCAGCTGTGACAGCTCTGCCAACCAATGCTGGTTTTTCCAGAGTGGGGCCACTAAGAGCACTTTGCGTTTCTGTTCCCTGATCTGCCTGATGTCAACTGGGGGAAAAGCGTAGAGAGGGAGGTTGGGCCAGTCGTGGGTCAACGCATCCTTGTCCTTTGAAAAATAGATTGGGCAGTGAGAATTGTCTTCTGAGGCGAAGAGGTCTACTTCCGCCCTACCAAAGACTTCCCAAATTTGTTGAACTATCTGCGGATGAAGCATCCACTCCTTTGAGGGGACCTTGCTTCGTGACAACATATCCGCTCCTCGGTTCAATACGCCCGGAACGTGTGATGCTCTCAGTGATCGTAAGTTTATCTGGGCCCATTCCAAGAGGCGCTCTACTAATACAAGGAGCCGCTTCGAGGATAGCCCCCCCTGGTGATTTATGTAGGACACCACCGTCATGCTGTCCGAACAGACTAAGACATGGTGATCCTTGAGGTCCGGTAGGAAGGTTTGACAGGCCCGCCATACCGTCAACATTTTGAGGCAGTTGATGTGCAGAATGCTTTCCGCTACCGACCAGAGGCCGAACGTCGGTTTCCCTTCGCACAGAGCTCCCCAACCTGTGTTGGAAGCATCCATCGAAACCACCTTCCTCCTGTAGACCATTCCCATGGGAACTCCTTGTTCCATCCATTGAATGTTCATCCAAGGGGCCAGGGCCGTTACACAGGCCTGATTTACCCTGATAATTAGGCGTCCATGACGCCACGCGTAGGCTGGAACCCACGGTTTCAGCCAGTGCTGGAGGGGGCGCATTCGCAGCAGGCCCAACTGTAGTACTGGAGATGCTGCAGCCATGAGGCCTAGCATTTTCTGAAACCTTTTGAAGGGGTGAGAGGCGCCAGCTTTGAAGGAAGCTGCGAGCTGCCGTATACTCAGGGCGCGCTATGCTGTGACCTTTGCTTCCATCTGAGCCGAGTCGAACACTGTTCCCAGGAACAAGACTCGCTGGCTGGGAACCAGCGCGCTCTTGGCAAAGTTCACCCTGAGACCCAGGCATTCCAAATGGCTGAGGAGAAGGGCTTCGTGAGATAGTGACTCCTCCCTTGACTGGGCCAGAACGAGCCAGTCGTCGAAGTAGTTGAGAATGCGGATCTCAGGGGGGAGAGAGCCGCATCCATGGGTGCGTGGAGCCAGGGACAGCCCGAAGGGAAGGACCGTGTATTGATAAGCCACTCCCTCGAAGACGAATCTCATGAATGGCCTGTGATGGGGGGCTATCTGGATATGAAAGTAGGCGTCTTTCAGATCCAGAGAAAATAACCAGTCCCCTTGGCAGATTTGCGAGAGGATCTGTTTCAGTGTAATCATTCTGAATGGCCGTCTCATGAGGACGTAATTCAGACATCTGAGATCGAGGATGGGCCGTAGGCCGCCGTCCTTCTTGGGGACGAGGAAGTAACGGCTGTAGGAGCCTGACTCACTCTGGGCCGGGGAAACCACTTCTATGGCTCCTTTTTCCAGCAAATTCCTCACTTCGGAGCGCAGGACGTGTGCTTTCGCGCTCTGAACCGAGGTGGGGACCACTCCGCTGAAGCGCGGGAGTCTTTGAGCGAATTGGAGTGAGTAACCTCGCTTTATTATCCCCATAACCCATTCTGATACCCCGGGGATGGCGTGCCACGCCTCGGTCTGGGAGGACAGGGGTTGGATTGGTTAGAGTGCCCAGTCGCTGCAAGGGAACCTGGTACTCATGAGAAATGGAAGAGGAAATTTGCTCTCTCTTTGAAATTGTTTGTGTTTTATTTTTCCCGCTATAACAGCGGATCGCTGTTTGGGCGCTTGAACGGGCCCAGAGTTTACAGCGAACATCGCTGGCTGCACTCGGAACTGAACGGGGTGACTGGCGGCTTACGAGAGGCAGCTTGGGGGGTGGTCCGGCTGCAGCGAGACTTGGCCCCCTCCTCTTCCTGCTCCTCTGCTCATGATGACGCCAGAGGCACCGGGTCCAGCGCTAGCTTAGGCCGGGGGCCTTGACGTTTCTGGAACGGGTAGCGCTTTGCTGAGCGGGTACGTCTTCGAGGCTCAGGTTTGGTTGGCTGGGTGGCGGTGGCCGCCGCTGGTGCAGGCTTCGCAGGCTTGGGGCGACTTGAGGCAGCTGCAGAACTGGAGTGCTTGGGTAGAAAGTGTCGCGTGGCCTGAGACGACTTCTGTGCTTCAGTAAAGCGCTCAGCGAAGCCCTCGACAGCCGATCCGAATAGACCGTTAGGGGAGACCAGAGCGTCAAGGAATGGGACCTTGTCAGCTTCCTTAATCTCAGTCAGGGTCAGCCATAGGTGGCGCTCCAGCACAACCAGACTGGCCATGGAGCGTCCAATAGCCTGAGCCGTGGTATTCGTTGCGCGTAAAGCCAGGTCTGTCACGCTTCTAAGCTCTCTGAGCATTGCAGGGTCTGGGCCTGACTTGTCTGTGCTGGCGAGGAGCTTGACCTGGAAGACCTGGAGCACAGCCATTGAGTGGAGCGCAGAGGCCACTTGCCCAGCTGATGAGTAGGCGTGACCAGCGAGGGCTGATGTCGCCCTACATGGCTTGGATGGATGGGCAGCCTTAGCCTTCCAGCCGATCGCAGTGGGCGGACAGAGATTCGCGGCCACTGCCTCATCGAGCTCAGGCAACTTCTCATACCCCCTGCCTTCAACGCCATCGACCGAGGTGAGGCGGATGAAGCAGCAGAGAGGAGTCGGGCAGAGAATGGGGCGCGCCACGATCTGGTGAGCTCGTCGTGGACCTCCGGAAAAAAAGGAGAGGATCGCTGACGAGGTGTTTGACGGCACCCCGGCAGGAACCACTCGTCCAGACGGCTGCGGGAGGGTTCTTCCGGCGGAGACCACTCCAACCCCAGCTCTTCGACGGTCGACGGCTTTGGAGAGGACACGGAGTAATTCGGCATCCGTCCCGGGTTTAGCA